GGGGCCCTTGGCAGATAAACAGGCCCTTCTCTATTGGTGGGCCAGCCAGCAGGTCAGTGGGAAGGTTAAAGGTCACAAGGTTTGGGGGAAATTGGGTGAGAAGTTTAACCCCATTCCCAGTAAAGCTTCTGGGAAACACTTCTCTACTGGGGCAGCCCTGACACCAGGGCACTCATTAACCCTCTGGGTGCCAGAGAAAGGGCAGGAGGTAAGTGCTGGGAGGCAGCTGAGGTCAACCTCTTTTGAACCTCCACGTGGTATTTACTCAGAGCAATTGGTGCCAGGGGCTCAGGGCCCTGGAGTATAAAGCAGAATGTTTGCTCTCTGTGCCCAGATGTGAGCAGGTGAGCAGCTGGGGCAGAGGGATGGGGGCCGCAGCCCTAAGGGATGGCATGGCAGGTGGCCTCAGGGGAGAGCCTGGGGTGGCCCCTAAGACATCCTCTTGGAGCACTTTGGCAGAGTTGCTTCTTTGCCCTCGTTATGCCTCAGTTTTTCCCACCATGAAATGGGAGGGAGGGGGACAGGTGGGCAGGGACAGGTGGTAGAAGTGGCCTAGGGAGCTGCTCCTGGGGTCGGGGACATTTACGAAGGGGCAAGAGCACCATGCTCCCTGCTATCTGACTGAGTTGGCAAGGGCACACCCTCTCCCCGTGTCTGAGGAAGACATCCCAGCCTCTTTGACTCACCTAGGTCAGGACTCTTGAGCCCCAACAGCTCTGTGCTCCCCACCCCAAGGAAGTGTTAACAGGATTTTGGGCAGTTGTCCCTGGAGAGGCCCCCTGGGTCATGTCCCTTCTTCTGCTTCTTTCCCTAACCAGGCCTCCCTCCACTTGCCTTCTCAGAGCAGATAATGGCAAGTATGGCTGCCGTGCTCACCTGGGCTCTGGCTCTCCTCTCAGGTGGGTCTCCGACCCTGACTTCAACGTGGGGGTGTGGGTGGGGGCTGGCCTGGGGGCCCTGTCCACCCCGGGGGCCCTGTCCACCCCGGGGGAGGAGAGCCCAGGCCCTGATCACCCAGTGCCTGTCCGCAGCATTTTCGGCCACCCAGGCACGGAAAGGCTTCTGGGACTACTTCCGCCAGACCAGCGGGGACAAAGGCAAGATGGAACAGATCCATGAGCAGAAGATGGCTCGTGAGCCCGCGTGAGTGCCCCGGGAAGGGGTGTGGGCGAAGGGAGGAGACAGCTGGGCCATGACATGATGCCCTGCGTCTGTGGCCCCTGTTGGGACAGAGGAAAGGAGCAGTGCTAGGTCTGCCCGCAGATCCCGGCCATCCTGGGCTCTTCAGCGCCCTCTGCCTGCAGCCCCTGCCTTAACAACTCTGTAGCTGTTGTCCGTTTGACCCCTGAGGCGCGGGACCTGGGATCGACCGGGAGGACCCCTGCTGCGGTCCCCAGAATCAAAGGATGATGTGGCGCATCTGTGCTTCTTTGATCAGTGTTGTAGGTCTGGATTTGCATATGCGATGTGTTTATGCTTCGTGTGTGAGGAGTTGTGACTGGCCAGGGTTAGGACAAGAGCCCCTGATTCTGGGGCCAATGCCCTGCGTCCTTGGTTCCCCTAGAAGATCAGTGCATAACGACTTGGGGACAAGAGAGATGATGGGGGCTAGCAGTCTGACAGCCTGGATATCTGTCCGCTTCCTCAGGAACCTGAAAGACAGCCTTGAGCAAGACCTCAACAATATGAACAAGTTCCTGGAAAAGCTGGGGCCCCTGAGTGGGAGCGAGGCTCCTCGGCTCCCACGGGACCCGGTGGGCATGCGGCAGCAACTGCAGGAGGAGTTGGAGGAGGTGAGGGCGCGCCTGCAGCCCTACATGGCAGAGGCGCACGAGCTGGTGGGCTGGAATTTGGAGGGCTTGAGGCAGCAGCTGAAGCCCTACACGATGGATCTGATGGAACAGGTGGCCCTGCGCGTTCAGGAGCTTCAGGAGAAGTTGCGCGTGGTGGGAGAAGACACCAAGGCCCAGCTGCTGGGGGGCGTGGGCGAGGCGCGGGCTTTGCTGCAGGAACTGCAGAGCCGCGTGGTGCACCACACCGGCCGTTTCAAAGAGCTCTTCCACCCGTACGCCGAGAGCCTGGTGAGCGGCATCGGGCGCCACGTGCAGGAACTGCACCGCAGTGTGGCTCAGCACGCCCCCGCCAGCCCCGCGCGCCTCAGCCGCTGCGTGCAGGTGCTCTCCCGCAAACTCACACTCAAGGCCAAGGCTCTGCATGCACGCATCCAACAGAACCTGGACCAGCTGCGCGAAGAGCTTAGCCGCGCCTTTGCAGGCACTGGGGCTGAGCAGGGGGGCGGCCTGGACCCGGAGATGCTCTCCGAGGAGGTGCGCCAGAGACTCCAGGCTTTCCGCCAGGACACCTACCTGCAGATCGCCGCCTTCACTCGTGCCATCGACCAGGAGACTGAGGAAGTCCAGCAGCAGCTGGCACCACCTCCACCAGGCCACAGCGCCTTCGCCCCAGAGTTTGGACAAATGGACAGTGACAAGGCCCTGAGCAAGCTGCAGGCCCGTCTGGATGACCTGTGGGAAGATATCACCTACGGCCTTCATGACCAGGGCCACAGCCATCTGGAGGAGCCCTGAGGGTCTATTTCAGGCCTATTCTCAGCTCCTTGTCTGGGGAGCCCTGACCCTGAGCCTAAAGCATGGTTTAGTCCTTGAAAGTGGCCGGCTGGGTGGAGGGTGGAAGGTCCTGTGCAGGACAGGGAGGCCACCAAAGGGGCTGCTGTCTCTCACATATCCAGCCTCCTGCGACTCCCTCATCTGGATGCATTATACTCACCAGGCTTTGCAAACCCAGCTTTCCAGTGCTCATTTGGGAATTCTCATTAAGTTGCTTTCTTTTTTTTTTTTTTTTTAAAGAGACGGTGTCTCACTATGTTGCCCAGGCTGAAGTGCGGTGGCTATTCACAGGCACAATCCCACTACTGATCAGCATGGGAGTTTTGACCTGCTCCATTTCCGACCTGGGCCGGTTCACCCCTCCTTAGGCAACCTGGTGGTCCCCCACTCCCAGGAAGTCACCATATTGATGCCAAACTTAGTGCGGACACCCGATTGGCATAGCGCACTACAGCCCAGGACTCCTGGCCTCAAGCGATCCTCCCACCTCAGCCTCCCGAGTAGCTGGGACTACAGGCACGCACTACCATGCCTGGCAAGTTGTTCCTTTCAAGGGTGAGGGAGTTGGGAGGGAGAAAGGCACCATGCATGTGGGCGATTATCTGCAAGCCTGTTCGCCATGATGCTGGAAGCCTGTGCCACTACATCCTGGAGTTTGGCTCTGGTCACTTTTGGCTGCCTGGTGGCCACTGCTAACAGCTGGTCCACAGAGAGGAGCACTTGTATCCCCAGGGCTGCCGTGGCAGCTTTTGTCAGGGGAATAGAAGGGAGAAAGAGGAAAATACCATGGGGAGAACATGTGATGGTGTGTGTATATCCCTGCTGGCTCTGATGCTGGTGGGTACGAAAGGGGTGGGGGGCAGGGCTGGGATGGGAAAAGGCAGAGCCCACATTTTCTGACATAGCTCTACACCTAAATAAGGGACTGAACCCTCCAAACTGTGGGAGCTCCTTAAACTCTCTAGGGAGCGTACTGTGTGCCCTTCCCATCTCTAGCCCCTCCCTCCAGACTCCCAATCTGAAGCCTGGACTTCTGGCTCAAATGAAATAGATGTTTATGATAGAAGTTTGCCTGGTGTGACTCTCATCTGGACCATGTCTGAAAGCAGTGGCCTCACCACTATCCCCAAAGCACATCCATCGCCCACTCCATTTCCCTGCTGCTCTTTCTCATCAACCCCTCCCAGTCCAGGTCTGCCAAAGGGGCTCTGTCTGGGCTCTGCTTCACCGCTCCTGGCTAGACAACAGCTGTCTGTCACACTTGGCGGGAGGCCCTTCCTCTGCACCTGCACTGTTCACTAGCCTGCTCCACACAGGACAGTGTGTATGGAATGCGGGCTGTGTCTGCAGGAGCTGTGGCCCTGGTGGACCTAAGAGTCCTGAGGTGGCCTGTCTCCTTTGTTCTTGCTGTTCTAGAGTTTGAATGTCCTCTTTTTATGCTGGACTGTCTTCTTGGGACACCCAAACTGTCAGTCAGGGGCACCAATGCTCCCCATAGCTCTCCTGGGAACTGTGAAACTGGGGTGTGGTGGGGGAAGTGGAAAGGGTAAGCCCCTTCCCTTTGAACTGTCCCGTCCAGCTCCCTTTCCTCCCAGCTCAGCCCGCTGCCCCAGGGTTCTCAACACGCCTGCTCACCAACCCCATAGCACAGACCCCACACATATGTAGGCTCATCATGCCGGCAGTCTGGTCTTCCCTGTCACCTGGATTTTGGCAATGTTGGCAAGGGAACCAGGTTGTGGCCCCCGCACCCGGAGAGAGGAAGTGCTGGAAAGGTAGAAACAAAAAAAGTGTTTTTATTGTTGTTAGGAAACTTGAAAAGCATGGGTCAAGGGGGTGGGCTATGGTGGGGATCAGGAGGTGGGAGTGAAAATGGGGGCTGTGTACTTCAGGCTGGGATTGGGGAAGGTAGTGATGAGCACAGAACAGGGAGTGGGAGGAACAGAAAGGGACAGAGGGATTGAGGGACTGAGAGAGGGGAAGAAGCTGAACCACCCGGAGGGGGAACCTAGAACGCAAGCAGCATGTGGCCCAACACTGGAACCAGGCAGCCCGGCTCCGGGCGCACCTTCTCAGGCATTCCTCAGGGACAAGCCAGGGTCCTTGTCCTCAAGGCTCTTGTAGACCGACGTGGGGACCAACAGAACCCGGTGCGGTGGAGCTATTGTGAAGAAGCAAAAAACTGCTCTGGTTCTGAGAGGCCGTCTTGGGGGAAGTGATGACTGAGTTGAGGTGGATCCGGCTGGCGATGGAAGGTTCAAGCCATATAATCCCGGGAACCAGGAGCCCTTGACGACACTGTTCTCCGAGGGCCCGGAGTCTGCGGCCTCTTTAAGAAGAGAGGCGGGGGTGGTGGCAGCTGGCGGAAGTGACGACAGAGGGGGGCGTCCGCGAGAACACCGGAAGTCGGAAGCCGGGGTCTCAACTGCGCGTGGTGGCGATGGCGGCTAGCGGGGCTGTGGAACCGGGGCCCCCGGGGGCTGCCGTCGCCCCTTCGCCCGTTCCGGCCCCGCCGTCCGCCCCGAGTCACCTGTTCCGGCCCATCAGCGCCGAGGACGAGGAGCAGCAGCCCACCGAGATCGAGTCGCTCTGCATGAACTGTTACCGCAATGTGAGGCGGGGGCACGGCCGCCGTCGGCGGGAGGGTAGGGCTTGGGCCGGGACTAGCCGGGGGTTGGACCCAGCCTGATGGGCCCGGCCGGGGACCCCGAGGTGCGCCCAGCGATAGTAGGGCGGGGAACAGAAGTTTCATTGATTCTTTCCTTCGTTGTCTTGTATTTCACCAGGGCATGACGCGACTCCTGCTCACCAAGATTCCCTTCTTCAGAGAAATAATCGTGAGCTCCTTTTCCTGCGAGCACTGTGGCTGGAACAACACGGAGATCCAGTCGGCAGGCAGGATCCAGGACCAGGGAGTGCGCTACACTTTGACCGTCAGGGCTCTGGAGGTGAGAGGACCTCAGAGCAGGTACCTCAGTATTCTAGAGGGAGTTTGGGGACTGGGGTCAGAGCTCGGTTCCAGGCGGTCGGAACTTAAATCCGCCATGTCTCTAAGCCTTAGTTTCTTTTGTAAAATGTTGCTGGTGCTGTCACCAGCTCAAGTGAGATAAGATTTGTGGAAATGCTTTGTAAATGTTGTCTGAGTGTATGATATGAGCAGTAGTTGTTATGAATAGTATTTTCACCATTTGGACAGCCTGACTCACACCACCTGTACTATTTGAAAGGAGCAGTCTGGACCCTGTGGAGTGGAGAGAGGGAGAGACGTGGGCTGGGGTCTGATGGAAGGGGACAGCCTGATTATTGCTTGGAGAAGGTGTTCTGCATCCTCTTTGTACTGAACGTTTAACTTTCTGCCCAGGACATGAACAGAGAAGTGGTGAAGACTGACTCTGCTACCACAAGGATTCCTGAGCTAGATTTTGAAATTCCTGCCTTTAGCCAGAAAGGAGGTAAGTTTAAGATCAGAATATTTGGGCTGTTCACATGTAGCTAGAATCTTACCCTCTTTCTTGCAAACCCCCTGGTGCCAGATCTGATGATTTGTGTATGGGTTCCAGCATGTAATCATTGTGATCTTCATTGGTTTCTCATGAGTGGAAACAGCTGGAAATGATAGAAAGTAATGGTAAGCCCATAGTATGCTTATTATAGAATTTTAGCATTGCTATTATCAGACATGAATGGAACCTTGCACCTGGCCTTCTCATTTTACAGATGAGGAAATAAAGCCCAGAGAGTTTAAGTGAATTGCCCAGGGTCATACAGGCAGTTAATAACAGAGCTAAGGCCAAGACCACTTGTCTTTTGTTCTTGTTCACAAGCTCTGACCACTGTTGAAGGATTGATCACCCGTGCTATCTCTGGCCTGGAGCAGGACCAGCCTGCACGAAGGGTAAGCTGGGGTTTTCTGATTGCAGCAGCTCAAGGAATAGTTGCTTATATGTGTCTGAATAGAGTGTCTCATGTGGCTGAATAGTTGAATGTTGGAGAACTTTTTGGGTAAGCATATGGTGGTGCTGGAGCTGCTAGGATGTTGCATATGTTGTAATTCTTGTCTTTTCTCCTTCCCTCCCCCGGCATGTATTCAGGTCTCATCAGACAGACAATATAACTTTACCTCTGAAGAGCCTTTCCTAATCCTCTTGGGTTATCTGTGTTTCTTGAGTATTCCATTGCATTTTAGATTTATTATGACAGAAGTAATATACTATAACTGCGCCTTTAGTTATTTGTCTCCTTAACTGGCTGGGGAGCCCCATGAGAGGACTGATACATTTACCGTCATATATCTAACCTGGCATGAATGCCTGGGCTAAATGGTTGAATGAGTGAGAAAAATGAGGCTTACCTGTCACAACCCATCAACTTCAGCCTTGTTTGCTACTTCTCCTTGTGAAGCCTGAGTCACTCTGTTTCCAGTCACACTGAGACAGGTGGTGACTTCCTAATGGAAGTAACATGGGCATGACAAGGGGCAGGGCATATGGCATCCCACTGGGGCTGATGCTTTACTGTCTGTTCATGGCAGGCAAACAAGGATGCCACAGCTGAAAGAATTGATGAGTTCATTGTCAAACTGAAGGAGCTAAAGCAAGTAACCTCTCCTTTCACTCTGGTGAGTATTAAGAGACTGGAATCGCCCTCGATTAGGGGAGGAGGGACCATTAAGACTGCTGGGATTTTCCATTGTGGTGCCTGAGTGGTCTGATGGTAGGTGATATAGGATTGTTTGATTTCCTGTTGCAGTGACCCTCTCTTCACCCATTTGTTAGATCATCGATGATCCCTCGGGGAACAGCTTTGTGGAAAACCCACATGCTCCTCAGAAAGATGATGCCCTGGTGATCACACACTACAACCGGACCCGACAGCAGGAAGAGATGCTGGGGCTTCAAGTAAGTGGACTGAAGGATCCAGAGAATGCTCTGGAATTATCGTGTACTCCGGATTGCTTGGAGTCAGTGGGAACTGATTTTGCTGCTGCTGCTCTGTGTGCCCTGTCTCAGCTTGTTTGTGCTGCTCATCTTGCTCATGTCCAGGACTTGGGTAAATGTCATAGAAAGGATGGCAGTGGCTGTGATTCTGCCTTAAGCTCTGTTTGGTTGGGGCTTTACTTTCTGGTTTCTTTAACTGATGAGATGGCACCTGACCTAAGTGAAGCAGAGCATTTTCTCCCACTCCAGGACAGGGTGTTGGGGATACTGAGGTATACCTGCCAGCTTGTGATGTGCATCTTTGCTATTTTAGGCAGAAGCACCAGCAGAGAAGCCAGAAGAGGAAGATCTCAGAAATGAAGTGAGTCACATTGGCTACTGGTGAGGAAGGAGCAGAGTTATGGGCTGAGGCTGATGCTGTTCAGTGTCTGTCTTCTTGCCACCAACACAGATGACCACCAGCATACCAACTGAGTGTCGTCAGTCTGAACATCCCATCTGGGAGGGCTCACCCTTTGTCCCTATATTGTGTTCCAGGTGCTCCAGTTCAACACAAACTGCCCAGAATGCAATGCCCCCGCTCAGACTAACATGAAGCTAGTACGTATCTTTTGGCAAGCAGTTGGGTTGCTCTTCATCTGACTCAGGCATGAAGATTATAATCAGGTTGGGAGCATCCCTTTTAAGGAAAGCATGTGCTGTATACCCAGTGATAAGGAGGATATTATCTTTGATTAGACTGTGTACCTTGGCTTTTGGGTTCAAGGAGAAATTTAGGCCATGGTCTCTAGACTGTGTGTGGTGTGGTCTGAGTGATGCCTTCAAACATGTGAATAGGGACCACCAGGGGCTGGGAACTTGTCCTCTTCTGGAGGACTCTGGACTGCCTCTTGTGAATATTTCCAGCAGTTCTGGGACCAGCATTTGTGTTTGTGTGGGGTTTGGCTTTGTTTTTCTTCAGATGGTGGTCTTGTTCTCCTTGGAGTAGATTTCCTTAACTCCATTTTCCAGAAATCCCTCACTTTAAGGAGGTTATCATCATGGCTACCAACTGCGAGAACTGCGGGCATCGGACCAATGAGGTGGGTGGGCACCATTATTTGGGAAGAAGACTAGCTTAAGGGTAACCCCCTTTTAACTATCATTCTTCCTAAGTCTGCTTCAGGACTCGGGCAGGGGGTGTGGAACAGGTTGGGTCTTTCTCTTAGGTCTAGGGTAGGGTGATGAGCCCTTGAAGGAATGGGATATTAGCCTAGAGAAGAAAAGTTAGAGATTCCATAACTTGTTTAAGACATATTAAAGGTTGATTATATGGAAGACCCATTCCTTAGAGGCGTGGAAGTTCAGGGAGGCAGATTTTGATTTCACAATGAAGAGCTTAACAGAGCTGTCTGAAAATAGAATGGGCTGCCTTGGAGGATTATAAATTCCCTTCCCCTGAGTGTGTCTGAGTATAAGCTAATTAAATTCTTAAACCAGACTATTATAAAGGAGATCCACACACTGGATGCAGTGGATGAAAGGGCTGGATAAATGCTTAAAACTCTTTCAACCCCAAGAGTCAGTTTTTTCGTTTTTTAGGGTAAATTCAGAGTTTGTTGGCAATTTGTGATAAGTTTTGGCATGTTACCAGGGTTGGTCACTGCTCCTGGACAGCTCTTGGTTTTTTTGGTTTGGGTGACTGCTGTTTAGAAGGCACTGTCTTTGGTAGCTATTAGTGGGCCTAACTGATTGGAGGTCCAAACCTATGTTCCAAGTCTCCTGGGTACCAAGCGAGGCTTGGGGTCTTCTCTCTGTTGCTCCTGTTACCTATGCAGGTGAAATCTGGAGGAGCAGTAGAAGCCTTGGGCACCAGGATTACCCTCCACATCACAGATCCCTCAGATATGACCAGAGACCTCCTCAAGGTAACAGTCTGCTTGGGAAAGTGTCCTCATAAGTTAGATAAGCTATCTCTATCTAGGGGAAGCCGTGTTTTAGAAATAATGTTCAGGGACATGAGATGTCTCCTACTTCCCTGGCTTTGAGGACCCCTGAGCAGAGGGGGTTCATTCAAGGTTGGAATTGCAGATTTAGAAGGTGACCTGTTAGCTCTTTCTGATG